ACACACACACACACACACATGGTTCCACCACAAAACCGCGGTAGACTAAAGCGCGTGTGACTAAAGCGCGGTGACAAAACCGCGCGACAACAGCGCGCCGACAACAGCGCGCCGACAGAAGCGCGCTGTAACATAACCCTAAAAATAACCCTAAACCTAACCCTAAACCTAACCCTAAACCTACCCTAAACCTAACCCTAAACCTAACCCTAAACCTAACCCTAAACCTAACCCTAAACCTAACCCTAAACCTTACCTTAAGTTAAATTGCGCTTCTGTCGACACGCTGTTGTTGGCGCGCTTTTGACATCGCGGTTTTAGCGCCGCGGTGTTGTTGGCGTGTTTTTGACGTTCGCGGTTATGTCGTGCCACAGTTTATTGAATTTAGACCTGCTTTTTTCTAATCTGTGTCATGAAGAGTAAAATTGCCATCTTTCAAAATGGCTCTAATGTGAAATGCCTTTTAGCTGTGGTTTCTGGAAAGAAGGTGAAGGCTTCATGCTGAAGCAGGCCACAAAGTTACTATCTCACCAATTGTATTGTCATTGTTACCTCATGCGATAATGAACACGGAGTGATGTTTTCTCATCAACGTAGAAGATGTGATTTGGTGCATACCAGATCTTTCTACTTTCATCAAAAAGGGCAAACAAATTATGGCACAGAGGAGAAATAGCTGGTAAAAGAAAAAAGAAAGAAAGAAAAAGAAGAAAACAATAGTTCAATGAATAGCTAAATGCAATATAAAACTATATTTACTGTTAAAATTACCATACTTTGTCCTTTCAATTACACAGTAGCTGCTTGTTAATATAAAAATGTTCAATAAGGATTATTATAGCTGTTATTGTTTGCCTTTATTCAATGAGACTATAAAGCAGAATCACCATTTTAGTTATCTTTATTGTATAACTTTGTAAATGATAGCTTATTTGCTTGGGTCTATTACAGCAGGCAAAGGTCAATTGAAGACTTTGGTATAAGAAATGTGTGGCAAAGGTTAGAAGGAACTGGAGGAAGAAAGTGGCAATTGGCACAGTAAACACAAAGGAGCCATCAGTGTATATATAGCAGGAAAGAAAAGGCAAACATTGGTGGAGCCAATAAAGTAATCCCTCTCTTCAATGATTAATATAATGCACTATTGGGGAAAAATAGAGAAGAGGAAAAAGTATCAGGTAAATAATAACTCTAAGAGTTTTGGGTGGGGCAATGAGATCTTAAAATATATTTATTTTCTCTCCTTCCCCCATTAATTATTGTACTTCTGCTTCAATAAATGTCCATTTGCAAAAAGCATCACAACAGTGTTTGCATGTGATTTACAATCAGTACTGCAGTTTGGCAACAATCCACAGTACACATACATACACAAACAAATTTAGAAAAACTAATATCGAGAAGCTAAGAACTGTTTCCAAACATTCCTAAAGCAAGACTCAGGGCGTGTTCTGGGCATTTTTCCAGAGTTTCTACTCTCAATCAAACATAGAGAGAAATAGTATCTTTGGTTCTAAGGACAAACTAAGAAAATCCTGCTTGAAATTAACCAAAACTTATTCACAATTTATTGCACCAAAGATTGACTTAAGATCTTAAATCACTTTTAAAAACTGGAAAACTAACGTATAATTTTCAGTTAAATACAGTCAGGCTGTAATCTGTATAAACTAGCAAGGAATCAAAAAAGGTGATTTTTCAAATGACTTCCACCATACTTTTAAGTTTTTAAACAATTTGGAAGCAATTGCCTTATATGCTTGCATTATTGGCTACTGTGCTGCACACAGCTTTTAAACTCAATTAGTATCAATAATATATGGGCTTTTCAAACATTCACTGCAGTTTATAATAAAAAAAAAGTTACTCAGAATAAGTACAGTACATGAATTCTTGAAGTCCATCCAAGTGATTTTTGTTCTGTCCACAAACAATAAGCAAAAAGGAAGAGAATCTACTGAAGGGGTGGGGCCACATTAATGAGTAACATTCACAGAAAAGCAGTGATAAACACATTAATTGAAACTGTAATTACAGGAAGGAAGGAAGGAAGGAAGGAAGGAAGGAAGGAAGGAAGGAANCCAACCGGTTCTCCCGAATAGGTGCGAACCGGCTGAATCCCACCACTGATCTGGATGCATGTATAAAAAGAGGTGGGGCTTGATCAGGACGACTCAGCCACCATGTCACAGGTTTAAAGCCCCTCTGGACCCTGTTGGTGATAGCATTCATGAAATTACTCATGTCTCCTAAATGTAAAGGGGCAGCACAGTGGCTCAGCGACTAAGATGCTGGGCTTGTTGACTGGAAAGCCAGCAGGCTACTGTGCTTCGAGACCCGAGCGCCATGTGATAGGGTGACTCCTGTCCTTGCCCCAACTCCTGCCAACCTAGCAGTTCAAAAACATTAAAACACGAGTAGATAAATAGGTACCACGTTGGTTGGAAGGTACATCATGCTCCGAGATGTCATGCTGGCCATATAACCATGGAAGTATCTGGCTCCGTGGCCTTGAAAGGGAGACGAAAACTGCCCCCCTAGACTCGGCAATAAAATCCACAGGGAGTTTACCTTTTACCTTTACCTTTTACCTTTATCTAAATGTAAGTAGGGGTGGGATTCAGCCGGTTCAGACTGGTTTGGGAGAATCGGATGCTAATTTTACATCTGGTTCGCTGAACCAGGAGTTGAAAGGACTGGCTGGAACCTTCCGCCCCACTCTGCCTCTCCCAGGAGTCTCCTCGTGTCCCATTTTGGATGCCAGGTAAGTGCAGGGCCTGTTCAGAGGCTCTGGGAGGGCAAAAAATGGACCTATTGGAAGCCCAGAAATGGGCCCATTTCCGGGCTCTGGAGAGCCTCTGAAGCCTGGGGAAGGACATTTTCACCCTCCCGGAGGCTCAAAAAAAGCCTCCAGAGCCTGGGGAGGGTGAAAACGCTCCCCTCGTGGTACAGGAGGCCGATTAGGCCATACCCACATGGCCACACCCACCCAGCAACCGGGCAGAGAAGCGGTTGCTAAATTTTTTCAATCCCACCCCTGAATGTAAGGGTATTCCAGTAGACCTGTTGCAATCTGGGTGGACATTAAATGGAAGCAAAAATAGTTTTCTATATCTCTCTGACGCACTTTAGTGATCCACCAGATTTTTGCAGCCTTTCATAAAAACAAAACATTGGATACCAACAGAAGAGAATCTTTGTTGATCAGGCGTGAACTGAGAGGTCTTTGTCTATGGAGATTCTCAATCATCCAGGTCATGGTTGTCCCAAAGGTGCTTTTTTGAAGAGGCAACTGGACTTTCTGGTTTTTCCTTGAAAACGTTTCGCTTCTCACCCAAGAAGCTTCTTGAGCACTTGAGCACTAACGGAAGGACGTGAGGTGTTCTTTGAGCAAAAATGCTACTGAATTCCTGGATGTTTGCCACTCAGACAAATCAGCCATCAACAGGCACATAGAGATAAACAACATCTACATACCATTCAAAGAGACAATCAGGAAGCCAAACAGGAAACAAAAAGATCAAAACACTTCCTTGTTAGCAATCAAGATCCAGGTAAGCAAAAATTAACACCAGGATTAATACCGGTCAGCATTTTCCAGCCGGGTGAATTTCTAAAGACCATGGAATGACCACATTAAAAACAGCAAACAATGGCCTAATCAAGGAACTCCCAAGAACACTTCCACCAATGCTGACAGGGCAAGCCACTTGTATATAAACAGAGAGTAAACCCCTCTCTCTGCTAGCACTGATGGCGTTACCTAGTTGGGTAGTGAAACATCTGCAAGAAAATAACCAAGCTCAGAGGGCACCAAGGACCCCCACCAAAAACTGGGCAGAATTCTTGAAGATCAATCAAATGCNTCCTTGATTAGTTTCCACCCATTGCTTCTTGTTCTACCCTCAGGTGCCTTGGAGAATAGTTTGACTCCCTCTTCTTTGTGGCAGCCCCTGAGATAAAGAATATCTTCAATTGCCCCTTCAAAGTTATACCAAATTTTCCTTTCTTATTTTCTCCATTGGTCTATTTTGCTATAAACAGTATACATTCTCTCTCTTTTTCACTTTTTAAAGCATTTTTCCCCTGCCGTTTCAGGCAAATAGGCAGGAAAAAAATGCTTTAAAAAGTGTGTGTGTGGGGGGGGGAAGCTTCCAATGATCCTTGGAAGCTTTTTTACTACCAGTTCACAGAACCAGGGACAATCGTCCCTACCAGTTCAGCCAAACTGGGCCAAACTGGGAGGATTTCACCCCTGCACTGAGCCACAGTGGCTCAATATTTGTGGCGCTCCTGTTCATTGCATCAGAATAGCTCCGTCCTGCTCCATCCCATGCAGCTCCTCCTCACCTGTCAGCGGTGATATTTTTAACGCAGGTTGGTGATCTTGCAAAGAGCAATAAGGGTTTGTTTTTCCTAGCAGCAGGTGCTCTCGGCGCAAGCAGAAACGAAGTGATGGGAGTTCACCCATGCCTTAACTTGTTTTGCATGACGAGGATTAAAAAACAAACACCGTATCACATTCCAGCCTTGTTACCAAGAGAAAATAGGAATTCGGCTATCGGGAAAGCAAATCTTATGCCCAGCAAAATTCGTGGCCAACTCAAGGACTGGTGGATTGGGTTTCGAGACATCCTGGTGGCTATTTCCTATGTTCTTCGTGGGTAGGAGAAGGACAGGCAGAGCCTAAGGGTGGAGTCAAGAGAGGAATCAGCCTGGAGTCCTTATATAGTATATATACAAGTAGTTTAAGTCCAACTCATCCCACCCCAGCGTTTACAGAGTATCCCCTTAATCTGCTGGCCCCTTCAGGATCTACAGCGCTCAACAATGAGCCCAAACGAAGAAGTTAGAGTTAGAGGTTGGGAGAGCTCCCTTTCTTCAGCTCCAAGCACGATGACGTCACCACAGGAAGTCCTCCCTTCTTCTCGGGTAATTTTTAAAGCTAACTCCAGGTTTTTATTTCCTTTCTACCTATCTCTATATCATCTATATCTATTTCTATATCTAATTCTATATCTTATAACTATGTCATCTATTTCTATCTATATCTATACCATCTATTACTATTTCTTTCTATTTCTATATCTATATCATCTATTTCTATATCTATATCATCTATTTCTATTTCTATTTCTATATCTATTTCTATATCTATCCTTATTTCTATATCTATATCTATATCNCAATCAAATGCCCTTTTACATAGTATTATATTAGCGAACCTCCTATCACATATTTCTAAAATGCCGTGCTCGTCCATTTAACTTGCCAGCCAGACTTATCACAGACATGCACACGGACAAAAATCACATTTTTTTCCCCCGCTCTCAATTCCTGTGTTATAAGGAAGATCTGTGGCTGGTTTTTGTCAGTGCAAGATATGCTAAATCCTTTCCAATCATCAGTCTCAAGTGTTGATCAGAAACAATAAAGTTATTACTTTTGGTGCCGGCAATTCTGAATTTACAAAGCATCAGATGGGGATTAATAGAAATTGTAATTAAGTTATGGAAATAACCTGTCTGTCACGTGCTCCGAGGGGTGGGGGGGGGAAAGCACCTGCATGTTTGAAGTCTGTCTGACAATCTTAGACTGGCTGGGAAAAGCATTTCTCAATAAACGGGGCATTTTAGGACCAAATCATGTAATCACGGAGACTTAATCGCATTCCGG